CTTGTTCCAAGTAGGTGCTTTAGACCTCTGAGCCATCTCGCCAGCCCCCCCTCTTGGTAGTTTCTTGATGGTTTTTTAAAATGGTTTCTTGGTGAGTACTCGAAGTTATAAGATTTCCGAATTTGGTTGTGCCGGCAGGGACTTCAGTTTCCGGGTCCTTAAGGAAGGGAGGTCCCATAGGGATGCTTTTAGAGATTATGGACTTTGGTCATAAGTAGAAGTTTCCGTGGTCTCCAGGTTCTCTTTAAGCGAAGTTTTTCTGACCCCCTCCCCTATACCTACAGATTCTGAATGCAGGGGGCTAGGTTAATCCGCTGGACCCCTCTCTCTCTAATTTTATGCAGGCTAGTCTGCTTTCCTCTTGTGTGGAAGGTCCTGATACCCCTACCTTTACTCAGTACCTCTACAGACTTGGTGTCGTTTACACTAACTGTAGATGGCGCTTGCTTTCCATGCAGGATAAACCCCTTTGGCTAGTCTGCTTTGGCTTGTGTGGAGTGAGTTATTTCCTGAAACCCCCTACCCCTACTTAATACCCCTGCAGATTTGGTGTCATTTACACTTGCACTGACTGTAGGGGTCTGTTCTCCATGCAGGATTTGTTTAGGCCTATTTGGAGCCATCTGGGTTCAGCTCTTCTCTTGAAAGATTTTATTTGGGCGCCTGTTATCTGTTTTTTGGTTAAGTCTATTTGTGTTGTCTGTCCGTACTAGTCTGTTTTCTCTTTGAGATTTTGCTTGGGCTAGTCTGTTTCTTGTCTTTGGTTTTGTTTGGTCTATTTGTGTTTGTCTATGTTTCCTTGTACATCCCTGACCATTATGGGACAAATGTTTTTAAAGATTTCAGAGAACAAACAAAAGGGATTCGGAGAACCTGTGCTTCCTGGTGAGTTGCAGGCTTTTTGTAATTGAATAGCCCTCCTTTAATGTCTCTTGGCCTCCCAAAGGCACTTTTGTTCTCTCCACAGCTCAGGACTTCACTGAGTCATTTTTTGACCGGCCTGTCTGTCCAAACTTAGATGGAAGTGATCCGATCTGGATAAATAGGGTCAATCGGATCAGGTCATTTACATGTGAGTCAGCCTGGATTGACCTCATCCAGGATCCACCCATCTGCCAGCCAGTACACAGATAAATTCAGTTATACAGTTGTTAAGATATAAGGTTACGATATTTCATATTTGTATATGCTACATTTGAACTAGTTGTTTAATGTACTGGTATTCCTTGCTCAATTTTAGGCAATAGCACTAGAGGGTAAAGTTAATAAGCTTCCTATTGGATTTTATGTAAACATCTGTAAAATGGGACTTTTTAAGCCAGCTTCGACTTAAAAAACCTACATGCCTATAAAAAAACCCCAAAAACCCCAAAAAACGGGACTCCTTTTGCCAGTTAAATGACATTAGGTCAGCAACCGTTCTTAAAGACTTGGAGGACAGGTTTCACTGGGGATAGACTGGTTCTGATCCCCCTCTACATGCTAGAGGGAATGTCAAGCCTGATCTGTTTCAGTTTCCTTGCTTTGACTTTACTCCTAATTTTCCTATTTCTTTTTTTTTTTAAAATTTATTTATTTAGTGTGTGTGTGTGTGTGTGTGTGTGTGTGTGTGTGTGTGTGTGTGTCCAGCTCAGCCCACTAGGGGGCGAGGCTGGCTGGCATGTGGTGCTGGGGGATTGAACCGCGGTCCCTTAAGCTTGTTCTAAGTAGGTGCTTTAGACCACTGAGACATCTCACCAGCCCTAATTTTCCTATTTCTTTGCACTTTCCTTTTTATTTTTTTTTTAATTTTTTTTTTTTTTTGACGATTCCATGGGTGTTTACTATCACAGATCACAGTTTCTTGTTCCTGAATTTAAGAGATGATTCAAGATTATCCTAGGTTGTGCTACAATGTGTTCCTGCTGGAAAAATCATTAGACAAGTGAAAAATTGAAACAGCAACACTGTCAGGAGAGTTCCTCAGTTCTGCCTAATATTCCATCTCCCAATATTATAATCACAGTAGTTACAAAGCCATTCAGGAACACAGATCAGGCCCTTACAACTTGATCAGATTTATACAAAATCAATAGATCTAACAGCCACAAGGCCAGAGATCTTTGCAGACTGGGCATGGAAGCCACTCAAAACCTTGAATAAATGGGGTTAAATGAAGTTGGCAAGAACCAACCAGAATGTTCTGTACTTAGAATCTTTTAGTGAAGAGATGAGGAACAATATTAACTTTTATAGAAGTTACCTTTCAGCATAAGCACTGGCCAGGCAAGTGCAAGGTCCCGAGTTCAACCCCCAAAAGGTTATCTTTCAAAGCCCAGGACTTAGTAGTGTTACTTTGCTTCATTAACGATGTCTCATATTTTCCAAAAATATATTTATTTTTAAAAACAAAAATCAGATGTTTTGTACAGTAAAGTTTTCCAGAGACCAGAGTTCAGATTCCAGCTTAGTGTGAAAAGGTGAATACCAATAATTTAATGCAGAATTTATCTTTCTCTGCAGGAGGTAAAATAATCTGCTTCACTGTATGTACTCAATTCTCTAAATCTAGTGTGTATTTTTGCCATCATTTTATTCCATTCCAGGGCTCTGTCATGCAATGGAATCCATCTTTAAAATTCAAAATTTCCAAATTGAGATGAGCGATTGTTTGGCTTGGGTTGGGGTTTATAACCAATCCGATCATTAATCATTTGTTCCCGGCTCTTAGGGTCACTGCCAAGCCCAATGGCTCCTTCTCCATCATTGCCTCCTACAACATCCACATCTTCTTTCTGTTTCTTGCGGGTCTCTAGGTCCTTGCGAATATTCTCAAACTCTTCAATGTCATCAAGTTTTAGCTCCAGACACGTTGGTTTCCATCGCAGCATACTATAATCCCAGCTATTCAGGAGGCTGAGGCAGGTTTCCTTGAGCCAGTTCAAGGTCAGCCGGGGCAAAACAGCAAGATACAATTCACAGGATTATCCTCAGGCTCTAACTCAATCCAAAATGGGTAAAACATTCAATAAACAAACTCTTCCTGTGTTCCAACTACCAGTTAAAAGGCCCTCAATCTCTTTTCAAGCGTCTCTGCCCCTCCTGGAACCTCCTGCACTTTCCTTTTTAAAGGCATGTAAAAATGAAAACTCTGATTGTTCCAGCTAAGTAAAGCCCTTAAAAAATGAGCGTTTGTTAACGCCGAAGACAGGAAAGCCATTCTAGAGAGGACACATACCCGACTCTGGGTCAGATGAGACAAAGAAAACTGTGCCCATCCAGGAGGACACACATAAAAGCCATGTCCCGGCTTAGTGTTCTGGACAAGTCTCCTTCAGGAGACTAAACCTGAGACACAGTGGAGAGAACCGACTTCTGGGTGACACCAGAAGGAGCTATCTCCAAAAGCAGCACACTTATGGGACTAAAACATTTAAGTATGAGAAAAAAATTTGACCTTTTCTCCTAAGTTTAGTTATCATTAATGGGATAAGAGATAAATTAAAAACTTAAGGCTTTTATTATAAAGTGTTTAAATAATCTTGTTCGGGCTTTTGAAAAATTCCTTGTACAAATTTGGATAAACAGTGGTTGCTCGTGATTTCTTTAAGAAGGCCTGTGAGTCTTAAAAGAGCTGCCACCCGCAGGCCTTCTTGAAGAAATTATAAATACCCATTACCCCGATTGGGATGATTGCCAGCAGCTCTTGCAGACCCTCTTCACCTCCGAGGAACAAGACCGCATACACTCAGCTGCCCGTAAGGCGGTACTCGGACCTGACGGGACACCAACCACAGACATTGACCACCAAGATGTTGTTTTTCCCCTCTTACACCCCAATTGGGACCCCAACACTGATCAAGGTAAGGAGGCTCTCAACAGATACCGCCAGTTGCTTCTGGGAGCCCTTAAGACAGCAGCCCTGAAGCCCATTGACCTGTCCAAGGTATTAAAGGTAAGACAATTGGCTACCGAGTCCCCTACTGTTTATTTGGAAAGACTCCTAAAAGCCTACCGTATCTATACTCCAATAGATCCGGAGGCACCTGAAAATGCACGAGCCATAAATATTGTGTTCGTGGCATAGTCGGCCCCTGACATAAGACAAAAATTACAAAAAGTAGAGGGTTTTGAGGGAGCACCCCTTAGTCAGCTCACGGAGATAGCTCAAAAGATTTTTGATGAGCGTGGATCTAAAGATGAGGTAAACAAAAAGAGATTTGATCGTTTGGCCACCGAAAACGGGCCAACCGATAAAAAAAAAACCCTCTTGAAAAAGATCAATGCACTTCTTGTAAGAATAAGGAACACTGGCTCAAGGACTGTGTTAAATTAAAGGTTAAAAACTGGAAAAAGATACAAAAGTCCCCCCTTAATCAATATTGGGGCAGTCAGGGCTCATGAGCCCCCCTTGAGCTCAGGCTAACTTTAACCGTTGGGGGGCAACCTGTGGATTTTCTGGTGGACTCCAGAGCCACTTATTCCATTTTGACTGAGCCAACTGGAACTCCCACGGGAACTTCAATAAAAGTCATAGGGGCCACCGGACAAACCAAAATAATAAAACAGCTTGGAGCGTCGCTGGGGCAACCTGAACAACCCCTAATGAGTCACACCTTTCTTTGGACCCCCAACTGTCCAAAACCACTCCTGGGTAGAGATCTCCTACATAAATTAAAAGCACAATTGAGTTTTGAGACCAAAATGTCTACAGTAACTATTAAAAATCTGGCAACTCTTCTGACCCCACCCTGCCACTCCACGACTGCCTCTCCACCATCTAAAAGATCACGGGGCTTCGAAAAGACCTAACTGACATCCCTTTGCCTGATGCTGAACTGACCCTCTTCACAGATGGAAGTAGTTACATTCATAAAGGTGGGCGGGTGGCAGGGGCGGCTGTGGTCACTCAGGATCAAGAGTTATGGCCTCAGCAATTGGACTCCGGTACTTCTGCACAAAAGGCTGAATTGATAGTCCTAACCCAGGCATTGCATCTGGGTCAAGGAAAAAAGATCAATATCTACACGGACAGTAGATATGCATTTGCCACTCTTCATGTGCATGGGATGATTTATCAAGAAAGAGGTCTGCTGTCCTCTAATGGACAAAAGATTAAAAATGCAGCCCAAATTCTAGACCTACTGGCTGCTATTTGGCTCCCACTAAAGGTATCTGTTATGCATCGCAAGGCACATACCACAGGTTCAGCCCCGATAACTAAAGGAAATCGACTCGCAGATCAAACAGCCTGAGAGGCTGCCTTAAAATCAGTGGGGACGGAAGAGAACAAAACCCTACTCCTCATGCCTCCCACCATCTCTGACCCTGTGTACACTTCAAGTGATCTTCACCTGGCAGGCCAGTTAAATGCTAAACCAAGAGACTCAGACAAATGGTATCAGTGACCTGATGAAAAAATCTTTATACCAGAAGCTTTGGGCAGAGAATTGATCCAACAAACCCATCAGGCTATCCATCTTGGGGGCTCGAAGCTAACTAGCCTATTCTGAGATCGATTTTTCATCCCAAAGTTAACCAACCTGACACATCTGTCTAGCCTATGCTGTGAACAATGCCTCAAGGTAAACCCAAAACACAACAAGCTGATGAGTACCCTCCGTTATCAGGGAACCATCCCAGGAAAACATTGGGAAATTGACTTCACAGACTTAAACAAGCCGGGACAAAGTAGATATAAGTACTTGCTTGTAATGGTGGATGCTTTCGCTGGATGAGTAGAAGCCTTTCCCACCCACTCAGAATCAGCGCCGATTGTAGTTAAAAAGTTAATCCAAGAAATTATTCCCAGATTTGGCCTACACTTATCTATGGGGTCCAACAATGATCCAGCTTTCATAGCTCAGGTTACTCAAAAACTTGCCCAAGCTCTCCACATCGATCGGAAGCTTCACTGTGCCTATAGGCCTCAGAGCTCAGGCCAAGTAGAAAGGATGAACCAGACTCTAAAGTCCACTTTGGTTAAATTCTCTTTAGAAACTGGCGAAAACTGGGTGAGTCTCCTTCCCTTTGCCCTTCTAAGGGCCAGATGTACCCCCTATGTCTCTAAAATTTGCCTTTTCGAGGCATTGTTTGGGAGACCTCCTCCACTTTTGCCTCGCTTGCCAGAAAAAAGATTGCTGAGATTGCTAACCAAGATCTCATTAAGTCCCTCCAGGTCCTCTAGCCGGTGCTTGCTTCCATCCACCGGGTCTGAAGACAACAACACCCCCACAGCTGGCACCCCAGACGAGTCTTCTGATGAACCAAATGTGTGTCAACTGCGGGGCCATGTCCACGCCACAGTGGAGACAAGACGGAAAGGGACGCTGCCTATGTAAAGCCTGCAGCCTCTACCCCCTCATCACCCGGCTTCTCGTGGAGCCTCGGGACAAACGGCCACAGCCCCGGAGCTCTGGGGCAACACGGACAGCCTCGGAACTCTCCAGCACACCGCCGCGTCCCCAGACAAAGACTTGGCCAGCGGCCCCAGCCCGCTGCGCGCTTAGCTCCGCGCCTCCCCTGCTGGCAGCTCTTCGCCCCCGCGCTTGGCTCGGCGCACCTTGGCGGGCCGCAAAGTTTCCCCGGCAGCAGCGGCGGCTGATGGCCGCGGAGCTGAACATGCGGCCAGAGCTGCCCACCAGCCCGCTGGCCGTGGAGTACGTCAACGACTTCGACCTGCTCAAGTTCGACGTGAAAAAAGAGCCGCTGGGCGGTGCGGAGCGTCCGGAACGACCCTGCACACGCCTGCAGCCGGCCGGCTCCGTGTCGTCCACACCGCTCAGCACGCCATGTAGTTCGGTTCCCTCTTCGCCCAGCTTCAGCCCGACTGAACAGAAGCCCCACCTCGAGGACCTGTACTGGATGGCGAGCAACTACCAGCCGATGAATCCCGAGGCGCACAACGTGACGCCGGAGGATGCGGTGGAGGCGCTCGTTGGCGCGCACCCGGTGCCACAGCCGCTGCAGAGCTTCGACGGCTTCCGAGGCGCGCACCGCCACCACCATCACCACCACCACCCGCACCCGCACCGCGCGTACCCAGGTGCCGGCGTGGCCCACGAGGACCTGGGCCCCCACGCGTACCCGCACCATCACCATCACCACCAAGCGTCGCCCCCGCCGCCGCCGTCCAACGCCACCAGCCCCGCGCTACTGCAGCTGTCCAACAACCACCCCGGGCCAAGTCCGCACGCGGCAGCGGCGGCGGCCACGGTGGCCAGCGGCAGCGGCAGCGTGGAGGACGGCTTCTCCGACGACCAGCTCGTGTCAATGTCAGTGCAGGAGCTGAACCGCCATCTGCGGGGCTTCACCAAGGACGAGGTGATCCGCCTGAAGCAGAAGCGGCGGACCCTGAAGAACCGGGGCTACGCCCAATCGTGCAGGCATAAACGCGTCCAGCAGAAACACCACCTGGAGAATGAGAAGACGCAGCTCATTCAGCAGGTGGAGCAGCTGAAGCAGGAGGTGTCCCGGCTGGCCCACGAGAGAGACGCCTACAAGGTCAAGTGCGAGAAACTCGCCAACTCCGGCTTCAGGGAGGCGGGCTCCACCAGCGACAGCCCCTCCTCTCCCGAGTTCTTTCTGTGAGGCGCGGCGGGTCCTAGCCCGCGCCCTTGTCCTGGCCCGGACTCCCTGTCCCGTGTTCCCAGCCCTGGACTTCCCTGGACCTTGTCCCTGGCTTCTGCCCACCGGCAGCGCTTCCAGCCGCTCAAGTACTGCCACCAACAATGCTTTGTCTCCCACCCTTGATTTCCAAAGCTGTACACCATTCGGAGGTTATATCAAGGCTGGGAACTTAGTCCCAGTACAAAACAAACAAGTGAGTCAAACCCCCTTAAAATCAGTGGGGAATGTTATACCCTGGCAAAATTGACTCCATTTTGTTGCCCTTCTAACCTCGCGGTGTTCCTGTTTTGTATGCACCTACCCCTCCCAACTCCCTCACCCCTGTGACCCAATGTACCCCAAAGCCTTATCTTGAAAAACAGCTGTACCCCAAATCCTGCTTTATCTTGTGAACTCTGCGTGATTACTGATTTCAGCCCCCCCCCAACCCAATGGGCCCACCCGGTGAACTCATGACCTCAGCACCCCCCATGGCCAACTCAGCACCCCACCCAACAGGACCACCCCATGAACTAGTGACCCTGCCACTTCTTCCTCTCCACCCCTTCCCGGTTTTTGCAGTTTTCAAGCTTAAATACTGATCCTTGTCAATGCCCGGCGTGCCTCTTTGCAGCTTGCATAGAGACCGCCGCTGGGTACCAGCTAAAATAAAGCACTTCTTGGGGCTGGTGAGATGGCTCAGTGGTCTAAAGCACCTACTCAGAACAAGTTTAGCAAAGCACAGGGACCGCGGTTCAATCCCCCAGCACCACATGCCAGCCAGCCCCGCCCCCTGCTGGGCTGAGCTGGCCACACACACACACACACACATAAATAAGTAAATAAAATTTAAAAAAAAATAAAATAAAGCACTTCTTTTAACTTTTGGACTTCCTTGTTGTCATTCAATTTTTGAGCTACAACACTTGTGACCTCCCAGAGGGTAAATGTGCTGCTGCTCATGTGCAGCTCGTTACAGTCCTAGCTTGGTCCTCCTCCAGGGTCTCCTCTTGGAGTTGTGCCTGCTTTTATTACCTGTCTTCATACGAATCCACTGAGGAATGGGGCGATTCTGCTTTTGCTTCTTGGCCAGGAATCATTTGATTCTGAAAGTCTTGAGAAGACATGGTGCAGGTAGGCGGCGAGAGCATGCACTC